GCCGATTTTTAATGAAGTTGGTTTGGCATGGGCCTGTAAGCCTATCCATATGGATCATAAGTCTTCTAGCAATGATTTTTGTAATGAACTTGTAAGAGGTATTGCAAAGACTTATAGGTCTGAAATTCTTAAGGGATGTAACATTCTTGTATTTGGAATAAGACATACATGAGTTAGATTGGGGTCGTCTAGGATGGTACCTCTATTGAAGGTTTCCTGGCAATGGGCTATGACAGAAGGTCCAACTATATGCCAGTACTTTTGGTAAAAGAAGGGATGTAGGCCATCCTGCCCAGGCACTTAGTGAGGATGGAAGGAGTAGACTATGGTTCTAACTTCCTCCGCAGAGGGAATTGCTTCAAGTAGGGCATGGTCTTCCGTTTTTAATGATGCCTGCCCCATCCCGAGGTTAAGAAGGACAGATTGGTCATGGGTCGAGGAGTAGAGAGTCTTGTAAAAAGAGATCGAACGTGTGACTGATGATCTCTTGGTTGTCACATATCCAAGCCCCGTTCTCCTCCTATGGTTTAGGGTACTAATGTGGAAAAACCTAGTGTTTGCATCTCTGAATTGAAGTCAGTTTATTCTCGACTTTAGCTTCCAAAATCCCTCTTCCTTTTTTAGGATACAATCAAAGTCGGCTATAAGGTGTTGTTCCAGGTTAAGCAGGAAAGCACTTGTAGGGTAGTTTGGGGAATTGTGTATGCCACAAAGTCTTTTCAAGATGGTTTTCTTTTGATGAAAGATATTCCCAAAAGTAGATTTATTCCAACTGGAGACATTGGTTTCAAAAGTGGCGATGGATTCAATGAGCTTGGAGGAACTGTCCCAGGCATCTTTAATAATGTTGCTAAGATCGGGGTGGGAGGTCTACATTGTTTCAAAATGAATAATATGCTTGCCATTTGGAGTCGTGTTTCTTGTAAGGGACAGCAATAGGAGACAGTAGTCGGAGTGGGTCCTTGGAAGGTGGATTACCTGTGCATCCGGGAAGCTTAGGAGCCAGTCCTTAGTTGCAAAGAAACGGTCCAGACGTTCAAAAATAAGAGCTTTATTGTTTTTAAATCTATTGTTAATCCAAGTGTACTTGTTGCCCTTAAAGCCTAGGTCAATAAATTTACAATAGTTTATTACGTCCCAAAAAGCGTTACTACATGTGTTATTTATAGGGTTACCTCCTTTATTATCTTTATTGTTTAAAAGTTCTTATAGGGTTACCTCATTTATTATCTTTATTGTTTAAAAGTTCTTTGAAGTCACCCCCAATGAGCCATTTACCCGAATAGCTAGTACTTCGACTTTATGGCACGAAGATTTTCCCAAAGAATATTACAAGTACGCCTATAGGTGCTTGCATAAATCATCATATATTATTATAAGTGGGAAGAGCTTAACCTCAACAGTTGAATTACGAAAATACCCCTATATTAAATTTAAAAAGTAATTAATTAAATAATAATGATATATCATATTATTATATTATTATACTAATGCTAATCATCATTTACCTACTTGTTTGTTGGCTTCTCATTTCCTTCCTAATCTTAATTATTCTCTCTCTACTTATAAATATTCACCTATTGTTATAATAATTATAATAAAGAAGGGGAATGAAGAGTTGCAAGGTAATTAATTAGGAGAGAAATATTCACTTTATAGCTATATAATTATGATAATAAAATATAAAGAGAGTGAAGAGTTGCAAGGGTAATAAATTTTGAGAGCTATAATATAAAATAAAGAGAATGAATAGTTGCGAGGGTAATAAATTTGGAGAGCTATATATAATATTTGTGTAGCAAAGAGGTGGCCAGCCGATGGTCATTATTTTTGCAAAAATGCATGATTATTAAATAAAATTTTCATTTTTCTCTAAATACATTAGTTGATTACTTATTACTTTCATTGTATTTTTTTGCTTTTTACAGAAGAAAAATGTGTATAAGTTCTAAAAGTTCATACGGAGCATGCAATGATGGAAATGGATATTG